CACAATTTTCTTCAAATAATTTTTTGATGTTTGATTTTTATTGTGATTTTTGTAAGGATTTTATAGATTTTATTATTACTATCGTTATTTATTAATAACACTGAATTCCTCATACAGATCTTATATAAATACTTTGTCGTATTAAAAATGTCCAGACCATGAATGTTGCTAATTTCCTGGAATAATTTGAGCCACAACTCATTTTAAATCATTACAAAATTGCTTAAAATAATCCCAGTGTGTTTGGAAAATCTGAACCTTCTTAAGATTCTGTGACATACACACTGAAACATTCAGAAAAATGCTGTTTTAATTTTCTAAACACTTTCACAAGATTGATGATATGATTTTTCCTGCTTAGTACATTATTCCAATTCCCGTGTTTCAGTCCACACTTATCCGTCCCCTCATATTTTATTACATCTTCTAAAAAGATATTACTAATGTTTTATTGGTTTTATCGTTTCTTCGTTAAAAATAAAACAGTTGAAAATGATTCGTCAAAAAATCATTTCTTCGCTGCTACATCTTTCAATTATAAATAGTACGTTAAGGCAACTGTTTTTTTTAAAACTGCAGTTTGCTTACTTCAAAAACTGTTTGCATGGTGTACCGCCATGGTAAATTGTACGCTGTATCAATGAGTTAAAAAGAGAACGGCTCGTTTCACCTTGAGTTTCCAGTGCACGTGAGCCTTACATTGAATTCATTACTTCTGAGAAGAAATATCTGAATGTATTGAATATCTTTGTGGAATAATAAACCTAGATGTTTAATATTATCATCAGTGACACAGTGCATCAATTAGGTCATCAGACCAAAAGTTAGAAAAATTGAATAAAAACCAGACCACTAATATGTCGCTATTAAATATCCCTAAGATAGTGGTGGCAGTCTTCCACAGTATTAGAATATTAAACACTGAGATATCGTTTCACATACATTATGGACAGCAAAAGCCTAGTTCAGAAAACATCGATGATGAAGCGCAACGAAGCTCCCAACTGGCCTACAACCAGAGCTACAAATCCTTATTACGTAATAATGAAAAGTTTTTGCATAATTTTATATATCCCCTAAAAATATACAAAACCTTCTATGTGACATGAAAGATTAGGTGACTGAATAAGATGACAACCTAATGAAATAATATGGTCACATGCATGTTAAAGAATGCCTGGTATTTTTTATTGATGTATCTTATCACTAAAACTGCCTTTACCAGTGGTTAAAATAATGAGCGTTTTAGGGCAGACTAATTTCCCAGTTTGCAGAAAGCCCAGCGCATTACAAAGAAAATGGGTTAGAAAATGTGAAATATATTTCTGAAGCGAAATGACAGCTAACATTCCTTTAATGTAGTGAGTAATTTCCTGGTAGTTAGGGTAACAAAGTTTTTGTCACTCTGAATTAATTTTACAGTCTAGTTAACCCACTTGTTCATAATAATATTCAAGTTACGCTGGTTTTCATCGTCAAATATCGTCAAATAAATACAAATGTGTCTCTTAGGTATCATGTTCCATAGGTTAATAAATGTTTATAACAAAACGACACATCTTACAAATGTCAGTCACTTGAATGGACATTAACATTTCCATTTAATGGTCTGAATTAGCCCTGTAATACCTAAAAAAATATTTCCAATACATTATACGTGGTCAAGCAGTGAATCATACCTTTTGTGCCAGACGAATGTCTGTATGAGTTTTTATTGCGATGAGTGGTTAGCTGTCAATTTATACCTAATGAATATTTGAACAACTCAGAAATTTATTAACTTCTGTGCTTGCTGTCTGGTTAGTGTTAATGTATTATATTACACATATCCATTTTTATATTAAGCATGTATGAATGGTAATCTATAGGCAAGGCATTTCCTTTATATTTAAACACTAAAACAACATTTATAAAAGAAGTAAAATTCTAGCCTTACATTGTGGTTTTCTCCCCTCAGTTACAATACTGTTTATACTGAAACGTTGAAACAAACGGAAATAATGACTGAAATCTTTTGTCAAAATTTTCTGCTAGTGGAGGGCAGGTATTTTATTCCTCTGACACCACAGAAAAATCTGTTTTCTTTCAAATCTAGAAAAACTGAGTTCATCACTTATCAAACCATTGGAAAATTGAGTTCATAATGTGGATATTCTTTCAAATGAGCTATTCGAACTGGTAATATCCATTGAAGTGTTTTTATTTACCTAATAGTCCTTATTAACTGATTAAGGCTGTAACTCATTTATTAGACTTTATACATATGTTCACTACATAGTTGATTGGCATTTGAACTTGTTGCTTTGTAAATATAAACAAATATTTCTTGACTAGCTGACTTGTTGATGTGATTCAATATTATCTTGTGACTGAAGAGTAAACTTGCTTAATAACTCTTCTGAACATACCTCTCCCAAGTCTACGAGAGGAATATATTATCAAGGATATATTGAGTTTATATGAACAAAACTGGGTATCATACACACTGATGACGTCTAAACCTTTTTCGCAAAACCCTTAGAGAAGTGTTAGTTTTCACTAACAGGTAATATTGCGGGCATTTATTAAATTAATTTCACGCTACCCTATCTTTGTCACTGTGCTGAAAGCATCTGACTCTTAGTTAAAAGGAATTTTAATGATACCTTCAGTTCCATTAATATACCAAATTACTGGGCGATGCACAGACTGAAAGCTTGATTCTCTTAACTCGCCCAGACGAAATTACATCAACTCAGGTTTGCCTTACATCATCTCAGAGACATCCTACTGTGACGCTCCTCTGTATGACATCATATTTAGAATACTTATGAATGTATACGGTTAACAAACAGTGAAACAAAATAATTCATTTAATACCACCAAAATAACCTCTGCTGTTTCTGACGTGTCTCATTTAAAATTTTCTGTTTATCGAAAACTCAAAAATCAATTTTGCTTCATTCAGTTACCCTGTGCAACAAGCTGCATTTGGGAAACCAAAACACTGAACTTTCAAGTGAAAACTGTGACGACAGTTTTTCTGAAGCCGACGTCCACTAATTTCTCTAATCTAAAAGAAGTCCAATACTGGAATTGGGCTTAATATTTAAATTATTTGTGAAAATTGTGCAAACCTAATCACTTCCTTGATAACCAGCATCAGTATATTGAGTAAAGCTTGTTGTTTTGCATTTTAGTAATATTTTATTGATTTATTTTTTACCATTGCATGAATATTTATTGAAACTTGTGTTCTCCCTCTGCCTACTTATCTATGTTCTGGTTCATCTACTTTTGATGTTATTTGATTAGCTAACGCATATAGGAATTCAAGTCACTCACTTTCTTCCATTTTGGATTTATCATCAATATGTATATTAATTCCAGTGAGTGTAAGAGTTCCCATTCAAAGTTGTACTCTTAAATAAATGTAATGGTTGCCGTGACTTTAGACATCTGCTGATTAACAATCAGTATTGATTACTGCAGATTGTCTTCAACTACTCAAACTGGTCAGTACTGCACATTGTAAAGCATAAATGCCCATATCTTGATACGAATCGCATTGTCACGCAGATGTGGTATAAATTATGGAACTTTCAGTTCTTCTTTAGGGAACTCTAATATCACCGTTTATTAAATCGAATAAATTCATTTATTGGAGAAATGAAAGTTCACCTTGTATTTTATCTTATATAAAAATCTTATTGCATCCTATGCAGCTACATATTTTATGGAACTGCTGAGAAAAAAAATTAAAACTCTGACGCTAATTTTTATATATTTTATTTATTTTCATTATATCTTGATTCCACACCGTATTTTTGGTACAAGTATGGAATTTTCAGCATTTGATATCGGTAACCCAAATTTTGCAGGCCAACCATTGATATTAGGTGTATCTCGGCAGGAGATCGAACGCCAGACCATGTGCGTGGCCGTCGAGAGTCCTAACCACTATGCCATCTGAAGTCAAAATACAGTTTTACTGCATGGTAAAAAGATTAGGCGGAGTGAATAAAACATTTTAGCAGTTGATAAAATCCCAGTGGATAACTTTCTCGGTTTTTGTAGCTCATATTTAGTAAAAGCTAATTTTTAATAAATCCAGGTAGCTCTTAAGACAGTCACTCTTGAGATTCTATCAGTTAAAAGAAAAATAATTATTACTCTCAGCGCGCTATATATGTTATATTCAGTATAAATGCATACTGGTCTAGGATCTTCTAGAGTTTACAGGTTATCGACTAGTCATTGTAATTGTGTTTTCGCAATGTCTTCAGCTATCAACAGAGTTTGGTGATCAGTTTCTGGATTTGATTACCTCAAGTAACCTTATTTTTACTACCATCATTTTAATCTTTGAAAACTCTGACTGAAAACGAATTTAATAGGAGCTTCACTTTCTGTTAACTGATAATTTCTGGCTAAATCTTTATTTGCTTAGTTCAACTCTGTGCTTAACGCTGACTTGAATTGATTGCTGATGCTTACTTCTGTAAATAGATATGCTAAATAAGTTAGTTCAGGTAAAATGGGTTCACTTTGAGTCACCTTAGTTACAAGGTTAACTGTAACCATTTTAAACGACTGGCTGGTTGAAGGTCTTTTGTAAATATTTGCTCACCAAATTTCGTTATGCACTGTACCATAAGAACCGACTTCAAAAAAAAATAAATATTTATTATCAGTCACTTATTCTGGGTAATTGTAGCTCTCATGTAAATTAAAGCTGAAACTGGTAAACGTGCTATTATTTTTTAAATGTGACGTTGTTCAAAATGAAGAACACAGCGTAATTTAAACTTAATTCTCCAATATATTGACGTAGTGTAGCAAAAATGATTCATATATTCATGCATGAAAAATATATAAGCTTTTTTCCTGTTTAGTGACTGTAAATATCTATATTCATTGAAATAACTTTATCATAACATTGCACGTTCAGACATCATTGTGCCAAAAGCCGTTTTGCTAAACAAACAATATCAATCAATCCACACTAACCAATCAAATTTCACTCGATTCTGATTGGCTTGATTGCGATTTACAAGGTACTTTTAAAATGAATTTGATATTATAGCTACATGATTTTAATTGAGGATCGTTTCTTGTATTATTAACTGCCATTGTTAGAAGGGGGAAAACTATGACATTTAGCGATAGATTATAAATGATTATGAATAAGTATATGGAAATATTTCATACTGTTGGAATGAATTGCCGACAAAAGTTTCTAATTAAATGATAAGGCTGCAAAAATAATTTTCTTCACGGATATTTTGACCTAACCTATAGACGAATGAACTTAATGATACTGTACTGTGGGCTGTGTGGACTTATTGTTTTAATGGTATTTAATCATGTTGGAAACATTGTAGCAGTGGATAACTTCCAATTTATTTACTCAAATAAACGTAAGTTTCAGTTTTTTATGCCGATGAAATTTAGATTCTGCTTATTTTCATTATTCTTTTCGTCCAATACAATAAAACAGTGTTAGGCATAAGATACTCTAGTTATTTACTTGTGTCATGGGGACAAAATATTTTACCAACTTCTCTTTCCTTTCAGTCTAGGCACTTGTTACATTTTCAAATGAAAATGATTTTCTCCCAAAACGCTTACCATGTGTGCCATTTTAGTGCAGAGGTTAAACTTCAGTGATCCATCAATTTTGATTAAATGTAGGATTCATGTTATGCACATGCTAACCAAGAGACAAGAGAAACGAACAAAAACAAACTCAAATCTTGTAAACCAATTTTACAATACTGTAGGTGAAAAGACTCTGGATGTGTATACCATCATAGTGCTTATTGAGTGTTAAATTAAAAATGTATACAAAATATTTATAAATTCAGAATTTGGAGTTTTTTGTAACCTTATGTATGGTGTGAACTGCAACCGTGAAAGGCATATATTTATGATTTTCTACTTTAGATGTGGAATATGTCGACTGTAGAAAATTGATGGTTAAGCGAATATAAATGAGGTAATTACTCTACAGTACATGGAAAAAATTAAAACACATTTCTTATTTTCGTAAAAACTCCTGTTTTATTTAATAACTGTAATTGCCATTACACACCAATTCTCTGATTATGTTTAAATTTTCCCATAAAACGGAATTTTTTTATTGTCTTCACAGAAAATGTTTCATTAACATTTCTTTAAAGTAAGGTAAGATTCGTTAATACTCCAATTTTTGATCGCATTGACCTACTGTCAGTCGTAGGAAAACTGTTCATTTCCAATCTTTTTACCACTGATAATATTCTCATTAGTATCGATCTTATATCAAGCTACAGAATCTTGAATATATTTTATATTTTCTTCGAAGCTTTCAGTCACAGTATTAATTACTACACTATTCCAATCAATCAAAAGGTGTAACTTGAAATGGAATGCAGCTTACTTTGACCCACCCACTGTCATCCCACTTCAATTGTATGACTTTTGAATGTCAAAGTGATTAAGCTGTTTATAATTAATCACAGACACCCTATAGTTTCAAGATATGTAACAGTATGAAAGTTGAATTAACATTTCGAAGTTGACATCTTAATTTTATTTAACTGTAAGTTGGTTAACTTTACTTTACTCGTCCCTCAAAAGACTAATGTTTTTGTAAATCACAAATTTTGGTGGCTGTTATTCCACATCCAGTCAACTTATTCATCCAAGTTTAATCACATTCTTTGAAAGTCACGTATATTACACGTTGAATTTCATTTTAGTAGGGGAAAAGGGAATAAATTGGTGTAGTTCTGCAGCTTCATTTATGCATTCATAGTGATAGCAAAAGTCACTGTATATCTTTCAATCATGTGATACCTACAAAGCGTAAATTTCACTTCCAGCAGACGCCTAATCTGGTGGGTTGGTGTATAACAGTGCCCGTTGTGATTGATGATAATGACGCAGAGTTGAAGCAAGCTGTGACGGAGAGCAGGAGAACAGTCGGTGGAAAGTCGATTATTGCGTCAGAGAGTTAACTTGGAGAATTGAGCCTCAATTATCGATAATGGGATCCATTTGCACATATGGTTGACTTGGTCCAATGGGTCGCAAAAAGGTAGAACATTATATTCGGGAATCAGAGGGTAGACACCAACTAACAATGTCAATGATGACAGGCATTTTCTGAGGTTTTGTAGAGTATGTGCCTGAGAAGAGAGTTTAAGGAAGCTGTTGAAAAGGAGGTGGTAGTTCTTTACCTCCTTCCGTGTTCATCTGTTTGTGCGTCGAAGTGCATGTGGATGTGGGTGTGCATATGCATTTTAGCATGTTTTTGAGTGTTCTTGTAAATGTCTGTGCGAGCGATAAGTGAAAATCACACTAGGTGGTAGTAAAACTTGAGGACGGAATCGTTGTGAATCTGGTATTACTTGTGCATAACGAACAACATAACCGGGTCATCAACAAGGAAAAATAGACAATCTGTTAACTGTAGTTGCAGAATCAAGAAAAGGAATGATGAAGAAGCAATGTAACAATACAAGTCAATTCATTCTCAGGGCATTCAGGCATCTTCTATCGAAATATTATTGTACTTCAAAATCTCTGAGAAAATGATGAATGAATTGGGAAAAATTCAATAAAAACGGAACACTGAATAACACTGACTTACTATAAGTGACAATTAAAACAACTCATGTCATCTGTAAATTACTGGAAAGTTTACAGTAGCTATGTTTAGTTTGAAGAATGGGGAAAAGCAAGAGTCCAGTATTTCAGATATTTTATTTCTTTGTTAAATTTAGTTGGAGCAAAGAAGACTGAATTAATAGTATAGAATGATATCACCTTTATTCATAGTTCCTCGTCAGCCACAGACTACCTGAAATTACAATGCTTATAAAGAATCAAAATATCACACTTCAATTTTGCTTTAAAAACTGAGAAAATGTCATAAACTAAAGCATCCGAAATGTGAACATCGCAGTTTTTAGTTCAATTCACAATCAGTTTATTTGCATTGCAATATAGAAAGCGAGGGATAGAGAAGATAGAAGATGGAAAATATTAAATACTGCTAACTTCTAAAACTGCGTAACAAATCAAGATTATAGTTCATAAGTTTCAGATTAGTTGAACGAGCTGAAAATATTAGTTAAAATATTCGTATAACCAACCGTTCTGTATAACAATGAACCGGGCCTTGTCTTAACTGTCAGTATCATGGAAGTTGAAAGAACTCATTACTACTGTTATAATAAAATAAGCCCTAAGTCGGAAATCATAGCTATTTACCAAAACAGTATACCGAATTTCGATGCGTAAATGTTTGCTACAATTTCAGTTTTCTAAGAAATGTGAGCGTGCAAATCCTCATCACTGTTAATTATCTGTAGTGAACACATAATTATTCAATGTTTCAATAATTTACTAGATATTTTGACAAAATTAGGCCGAAATTAGTTTGTCATGAGTTTAGCTAAACGTTTCTTAACGAATGCATTAATCATTTATGAAGTGAGTGCTGAGCTTTCAAAACTAACATGGAATTTGAGTTTTACCTTGAAGTTTCATTTTTGACATCTCTTGCATACACAAAGTGAATTTTTTATCGAATATGGTTGTCATCGATAAATTATGTTGTACTATCAGTTCTACAATAATTAAGATCGCCGTGGTAAAATGTAGAAAGACACATGCAAACGAACAATATTTTTAAGCTAGATTTCATCAAATTTCATCATGTAAAATACATAGCTCCACAAAAAATTAGAAATAAGAACCATTTTTCACCACATTTCAATAGGTAAGATAATTCATGTGTATTGTACATTTTTACGCAATAAAAAAGTAATAATGATAATAATGCTTCCGTTTTTTAAAAGAGTGAAAAATGAAGTGATCTAAGATAATAAGAATAGTAAAAAATGGATTGATTATACAGATAGACGTAGCAGATAAAATATCAGAAAACAAACAGCAAGGTTTTGTAGTGAATCATTTCGAATCCTTCACCTGACAAGTTACCACTGGGTTGTGGATTTATAAAAGGGGTTTCTTCTATACTGGCATCTTATCTGGCTTTCTGTCAAATATATTCACATTTTTTTATCAAACTCCTCGAATAATTTATCTGCATCAAGTAATCACGTATAAATTGAAATTTCTATTGCAAATAATCTTCACTACATACCTTTTGTGTTCTCTTCTCAAGACATTTAAAAATATGGGCGCATAAGGAAGGAATTGCGTGTATTACTCTGTGAATATTTCACTTTTCTAAAGTGATAAATCCAGACTAGATATAAGTTCTGACTTATTTTTGGAAAATTTACTATACTCTACAAATAATTCAGTCCTCACATTCACTCTTAATCTCATGAATTATCAAAATTAGCAACAAAAGTATTGCAGGTAAGTAACGGTCTTACCTAAAGACAAAAACCAATATAACTGGACAGCTGTCCAGTACTCCCAGGTTTACCAATGGTTCTCTAACTAATGTCAGCTCATGATGAAAATCCTGTAAACTTCAGATGAATTTGAATTTCATGATTGTCGATAGATATAGTGATCTTTGAAACATATTCGCATCACTATCTCCAGTTAAGGCTTATCAAAGTCATAAACGAACACTCATATCTTTGGATGCGGGTTTAGAGCAATTCAGTTAAGAAGTGAATAGGTTATAGTTGAAGTCAATAAATTTACCAACAAATGAGTCAAACTAAACAGAGATGCTGATCTGCAGACACATTGGAAAGCGGAAAATTGAATTCATTCAGTCCTGTTAGTCGACTGAAGAAGAAAGTTTCATTGCAATTACTGACACCTGTGTACTAAATGACCATATTTCTGCAGGAATTAAAGTGATCTACCACGGAAAACAATTAATTTATGATAACCTTGTGTTTGCTGATTCTTGAGTAGTTTTTAATTAATCATATAAAAATGAACTAAATATGGAATTAACTTCAGTTTTTTCTCCAATGTCACTTACCTGGATCAGTCAACGAGTTAAAGAAAAGATCTTAATTTTTTAAAAGGTTCAGAAAATATTAGTTTTAGGGCACAAAAATGGATGCTTTTAGAATAAATATAAACTTCAAAATCTTAACTCATATTGTATTTTTTAGTGATATGGATAAATAATACTGTGCAACTATGATGTGTATGTTATAAGTCCATTCTATTGTAATGCTTTTTCTGACTGATAAGTCAAATAAACGCACTTTTATCACAAAAGAAACTGATATGAATTGTATTGGTTTGCCTACTGTGAAGAATAAATGTGTGGAATCAGGCATTCCGGTATTTCGCTTGCCAAATGAATGCGAATTTGTAGAGAAATCAATACCTTATACACTGATAGCTAGTTTATCGTAACAACCAATTTCTTAAACACGAGAACCAAACCAAATTTAATGCTTTCAGACTGAGTTTTGGACGAATTGTG